GTGCCACCTGCCCCCTCCCCCTGCTGTGTCCCACATCCCTCAGGATGTCGCTCCCCCAACCCCATCCCCCGGCCTTGACCAGCTTCCCCCTCGCCCCTCCCAGGAGGGGCCTTCCGGGACAAGGAGAGCCGGGAAGAGCAGGAGGTTGTTCCCGGGGGCCGGAACCCATGCCCGCTATCAGGAGTTTGTTCCTGGGAGCARGATGTCATTCTCAGTTGGACATGACAACATTGTCTGTGGGCTGGAGCCATTCCCGGAGGGCACAAGCCCATTCCCGGTAGTGAGGAACCCGTTCCCGGGGACAGGAGTTAGTTCCCTTGGAGATCGTTCCTGAGAGCAGRATGTCATTGCCAGTGGGACATGAAACCATTCCTGGGGGACTGGAGGTTGTTCCCAGGAGCTGGAGCCCATTCCCAGAGGCAGAAATTTGTTCCCGGGGACAGGATGTCATTCCCGGGGGCTGGAGTTTCTTCACAGAGGACTGAAGTACATTCCCGGGGGGCAAGAGTTTGTTGTGGAGGAGCAGGAGCCCTTCCTGGGGGCCGGAGAGTTTTCCCGAGGGCAGGATGTCATTCCCATGACGCCATTCCCGGGGTCTCTCCCCCCCATCCCATTCCAGCCCCTCCTCCCGGGCCCCGCGGGGTGGGGGGGGTCACCCGCAGGGCCGTCCCGGGGGCGGATTTGGGGGCAGATCCCAGGAAATCGGTTCATGCCAGGCCGACGCCAGCGGCCCGTGGATCCGTGAGRCCATTCCCGGCGGGATGAGGCTCCCGGTGTCCCTGTGGCTGCCGCTGGCCCTGGGGGTGGCCGCGGTGGCTGCGGGCCAGTCCCCGCTCCAGCGGCGCGTGGTCCGGGATGTGCTGGAGTATTTCCACGGGCGCAGCAACGTGCATTTCCTCTTCAAGGAGCGGGAAGTGGACGGGGTCATCGAGCGGGTGAGTAACGGGATCCGGGATCGGGAACAGGGATTTGGGCGCCGGGATGGCCACGGGAATGGGGAGGGGCTCGGGGAGGGCGGCAGAGGTGTCCGAGAGGAAATGGGGAGGGGGATGCARTGTCCGGGAGGGAGCAAGCAGTGGAAGGCATCATCGAGGGGGTGAGCAGGAACTGGGACTGGGATCTGGGATTTGGGGTTCAGGATGGCCACGGGAGCAGGGAAGGGGGTCAGGGYATCCGGGGGTGTGCTGGAGGGAGCAGGTGGTAAACGAGATCATCGAGCAAGGGAGCAATAGGATTAGGGATTGGGATTTGGGGCTCAGGATTTGGGATGACCGTGGGAATGGGGAGGATGTTGGGGTGTCCCAGAAGGAGCAGAGAGGGGGTTGAGGAGGGGACTGGGGTGTCCCGGAGGTAATGGGGAGGTSGACGGGGTCATTGAGCAGAAGAGTTCGGGATACGGGATTCAGGATTGGGATCCAGGATGGCCACAGCAATGGCAGGGGCTCGGGGTGTCCCAGAGGGAACAGGCAGGTGGTGGGTGACGGGATGTCCAGGGGTGCCCCGGGATCAGCCCCRCTGACCAGGCTGAGCTCAGTTATTCATTAACGGATCCCAGCTGATCCCTGTGCCGCCAGAGCCGAGTCCATCTCAGGGTGCCCMTGGAGCACTGTCCTGTGTCTGGCAAGGGCCAGGACTCCACAGACCCCCTACTTTGGGCCACTCACCCACCTTGGAGCCACCCTGGAGTCATTCCTGGGCTGGATTTACCTGAGTGTCTCCTGAGGGCAGCTGGGTCACTCTCGGATTTRCCATCCTGCCGGGGGCTGTGTTTCCCTGGGAGTCTTGTGGGGTTTGAGAGTCCCTCCCGGGAAGGTCGGGATCCCTCCAGGGCAGTCCGGGATCCCTGCCACGCCCTCCCGCCCCCTGTTCCCACAGGAGGACTCCTCGGGGACGTTTGTGCAGCTCCGGTTGGGCCTGGCACAGACGGCATGTCGGAAGCGAGCGCCGCAGCGGCACTGCCGAGTGCTGGAGAGCCGGGTGAGGGGGGACCCGTGGGATGTGTCCTGGCTGTGTCCCAGYCCCTGGGGCACATCTGAGCGCGTCCCCATCTTCTTGGTGAACATCCCAGCATGTCCCCATTCCCCATGCCACGTCCTGGGGGTGTCCCTCCCTCCCTTGAGCATATCCCCCTGGGGCACATCCTGAAGGATGTGTTCGCCTCCCTTGGGCCACATCTCCACCCACMCCCTTGGGGCATTTCCCTGGATGTCCCCCATCCCTTGTGGCATGTCCTGTTCCCCTGCCTTGGGACACATTCTGGGATATTCCCAAGGATGTCCCCTCACTGCGCTACCATGGGTGCCAGGGTGGGGCAGGGGGGATGGTGCTGGGCGATCCCTGGGGGTCCCAGGGGGTGACATCCCACCATGTCCCTAGCGGAAGCCGACCTGCCTGGCCTGCTACAAGTTCGACAACAGTGACGTCCCCAAGGTGCTGGACAAGTACCACAACTGCGGCCCCAGCCATTACCTGGCCGCCAAGGTGAGGTGCCCCCAGTGCCCTCGGTGTCACCCCTTGTCCCCAGCCGGTGCCAACCTCTGCTGTGCCCACAGGAGATCCGGCAGCGGGATGAGGCAGAGTGCCGGGCGGTGGAGGAGGCCGGGAAAGGGGGCGATGCGCTGTACCTGCCTGGAATGTTCGCCTTCTCCCGGGGACTGCCAGCCTAGGTGGGTACAGGGACACCTCTGGGGACACCCCGGCATGGGGACATGGCTGGGAGAGCCCCCCAGAATGGGGACACACCTGGAGAAACCCTCAGGACGGGCACATGGGGATACACCTGAGAACCCCCGGAGACGCAGGGATCCCGTCACAGATCCCTTTCCTGTGTCCCCTTTCCAGGCACCACAGCACCGATGGACACTGCCACGGCAGTCCCAGCCTCCTGCGCTTGTCACCCCCCAGCACCGCRTGACCAAGGAAGGTCCCGGACGTGTCCCCTGCTCCCACCTGTCCCCACTCCCCAGTAAACCCAGCACTGGCTCGGCTGTCATGGCTCTTATTCCCACCTGGCACCACCTGTGTCATTCCTTGCCTGTTGTCCCCAGGGATGAGGGAYGAGCACATGGTGGGTGGGGAGCAGGCTCCATGTCACCACTGCCTGTGTCACCTGTTGTCTCCAGGGGTRAAGGACAGGTGGTGGATCTGGGCTGAGCAGTGGGGAAAGCCCTGAGGCCACAGGACAGAGGGACACCGGAAGGTGGGACATGTTTAATGCACAATGCCACCGTGTCTCCTATCCCCAAGGTGTCCCACAGCCAAGGCCGCACTCCCCACAGCTCCTCTGGTGCTCCCTGGGGATGCTGTGCTGAGCTGGGGGGGTGGCTCTATGGGTCCCTCAGCCCCATTTTGGGGGTCCTGTGTCTCAGAAGAGGAAGGTGCCAGGCTGTGGTGGCACTGGGGAGTCCCATAGTCCTGGAGCAGGCTGTGGTGGGTACCCCAGTTCCAGTGGGGGGGGTCCCACAGCTCAGATGAAGGAGACAGGCTCATGGTGGCTCTGGGACTCTCATGGTGACACTGTGGCCTGTGGTGGCTCTATGGGTTCTACTGGATCCATTTTTTGGGTCCCGTGGCTCAGAAAATGAAGTTGAGCTGTGGTGGCACTGAGGGTCTGGGAGACCTGTTTTTGGGATCTCACAGTTCTGAAGATGGATCTGGCCTGGTGATGGTTCCAGGGCTCTCCCAGCCCTGGTTTCGGGGTCCCACAGCTCTGGCTCTTGTGGCTCCAGGGATTCTCCTGGTCCAGTTTTTGAAGTCCTGTGGCTCAGATGAGGAAGGCTTTGGGCCCTGGTGGTTTTGGGGGTTCTCCAATCCCATCTTTGGCATCCCCCACAGCTCAGACAAMGAAGGCTCCAGGCTTTGGTGCCTCTGGGGGGGATCCTGGCTACACCATGGTCTCTGGCAGCTCCAGGTGTCCCCTGGCCCTGTTCGCCCTCCAGTCCCGCCGCACTCAGAAGCCGAAGTTGCCGTGGTGGCAGCGGCCGAGCGCGCGCTGGGCCTGTGCGATGGAGTCGTCGGCGCGGCGGCCGAGCTCGCGGCACTCGCGCAGGGCCTGGCCCAGCTGCCGCGTGGCCTCCTCCAGCACAGCGCTGCGGCGCGGTGGCCGTGGCTCCCAGAATCCAGCCTGCACCCAYGGCTGCGGCGGCTCTGCGGGTGCGGCAGGCGCGGCGTCAGCGTCCAGCGCGGCGTCCAGCTCGCGGCACAGGCGGAAGAGCTCGCTGCCGCGGCCGGCCACGCGCTGCCCATCGATGGCCTTGAGGCCGGGCAGCATGGCAGCCAGCGCGGCGCGGTATGTGGGCGTGGCACACAGCGGGTTGCCCAGGTTGCCCAGYGGGTCCCGCAGCCGCAGGCTCTCCAGGTGCCGCAGYCCCTGCAGGCAGCGCAGCTGGCGCAGGCTGCGCAGGCGGTTCCCGGCCAGGTTGAGCTGGCGCAGGCTGCGGCAGCCCCGCAGCGGCTCCACGCTGGCCACGCGGTTTCCGGCCAGGTTGAGCACGGCCAGGGCGCGCAGCGTGGCCAGCGGCGCCAGCCCCGCAATGGCGTTGTCGGACAGGTCCAGCCACTCCAGGTTGGAGCAGTCGGCCAGGCAGCCCAGGTGGGCAATGCCGCGGCCACGCAACCGCAGCAGCAGGATGGACTCCAGTGAGAACTCGCCYGTGGTGGCCTTGAGCAGCGCCGGTGTCACTCGCACCCCAGAACCATCGTCCTCCTCCTCCTCCTCATCCTCCTCCGACGGCTCCGACACCTCYGGCTCTGGCGCCTCCTCCCCGCGCCCCTCCATCCCTGCAGGGAGATCCTGGGGGACAAAGGGGCTGAGGGTGGCATTGGGGAACGCCCAGGATAGCCTGTGGGGTGCCCTGCGGCATGGGGACACGTGTGATGTGTGAGTGGGGCACAGGGACACACATGGGGCACAGCTGGCGGCACAAGGGACACAGATGAGACACAGCTGAGGGGACTTGGGGGCACAGGGATGTACATGGGGTGCATCTGGGAGGAAACTGGAGGCATGGGGACCTCTGTGGGGCACACCTGGGGGAAAAGGGGACGTGAGTGAGGGGTTGAGGAGCACAAAGACATGTGGGGCACATCTGGGGATGTCACCTTCTCTTTCCCACGCCCCTCCCAAGGAGGATCYTGAGTAGGGAAAGGTGTCTCGGGTGGCACTGGGGAACGTCCCTGGGGTAACACGGTGGCTCTGGGGTGGCCTGAGGTGTGGGCACACGTGTGACACATCTGGGGGTGAACTGGTGTGCAGGAACATGTGCGGGACACATCTGAGGGGAACCTGGGGCACAGGCACAGATCTAGAGCCCATGGGGAACCCCCAGACCCCAACTCGCCCCCATCCCAATACGGCCAGACCCACCCTGTTCCCTTCCCCGGTGCCCCCCTAGGCCGCCCCATTCCCTCCGTCCGTGCTCTCGCTACACCCCCAGAACCGCCCATTGCCCTCGGACACAGCCCCCGACCTCAGACCCCCCTTTTCCCTCCCCCGGTGGCACCAGACCACTCTGTTAACCCCCCCGTGCCCCCGTGACCGCCCCCGAGCCCCTCCATTCCACTCGCCGCTCTCCGCCCGCCCGGTACTCCCCAGGTCCCCCCAAATCCCCCGTTCCCCCCAAAACCCCCGATTCCCACCGCCCCCTCCCCCCGCTCTCACCGCACGGCGGCTCCCGGCGGCCCCTGAGACTCCGCCCCCCGTTGCCATGGAGACGATGCCCCGCCCCTGCCCAGGCCGCGCCTTCTCCCCGCTCCCCGCGCCGGACCACGCCCCCCGGGCCCGCCCGCTCCACACGGGGAGCTCTGAGGGCCCCCGGCCCCGAGATTGCCCCAGGGTCCCAGAGAGTTCCATGAAAATGGCTTTATTGGCAGCTCAGCTTCATTACCGGTGTCTCCCGCTCACGGCAGTGCCGCGGTGGGGAGATCCCCCCCGTCCAAGGGCYGGGGTCCCCCCTTGTCCCCCGACACGGACCCCAGCCCGTGCCAGCCCTCACCGGGGGCTTCCCAGCGCCAGCGGCCACAACGCTCCATTGCCGGCGGCGGAACAGGCCAGGATCCTGTAGGATCCTGTGGGATCCCCCTCCCGGAGCCCCGGTGCATCCTGGCACATCCCGGCACTCCCGGTGCTCAGGATGTGGCAGATCTCCAGGCACATCCCAGTGCTGAGGACTCACCGSCGGCACCGCTGGAGGCACGGCACATTCCGGCAGCACAACCCGGTGCGGGGTGCCAAGGATGCAGCACTGGCARTCACTGGGGAACCCAGCACATCCCAGTGCTCAGGACTGGCAGCTACTGGGTCCCCTGGCACACCTGTCCAGTGCCAGGACTCGCCACCGACAGCCATCGGGACATGTGGCACTTCCCCGCACATCCTGACACCTCCTGGTAATCACAGTGCCAAGGATTCACCATTGTCATCCACCGGAGCCCCGGCAGTTCCTGGTGTTCAGGGACAGAGGGTGGGGGGCTCTGGCCAGCCCAGCTGGGACCCAGTGATGCTGGTGCCAGTGGTAGCGGTGGCCATGCCCATCCCTGTGCCAGTGGTGGCTGTGCCCGTCTCTGTGCCCATCCTGTTGCTGTGGGTGCGCTCATGGCGCTCCAGGTGAGTTTTGCGGGTGAAGCTGCGGCCGCAGCGGGTACAGCAGTGRGGCCGCAGGCCCGTGTGCACGGCCTGGTGCCGGCCCAGGTTGGTCTTGGAGCTGAAGCGGCGGCCGCAGCGGGCACAGGCGTGGGGCCGGGTGCCYGAGTGCACCAGCAGATGCCGTGCCAGGTGTGCCTTGCGCCCAAAGCCRCGCCCGCACTGCGGGCAAGTGAAGGGGCGCTGGGCGGGGGGCACCTGCGGTGRCTGCGAGGGGTCCTGGCTGCAGCTGTGGGCAAGTTTGGCACTGGGCACCTGCGGCAGGTGCTGGTGTTCCTGAGCACCGGGCACTTGGGAGGGCTGCAGGAGGGACTGCAGGTCCCGGGCACTGCCATGACCGCAGTTGGCACTGGACACCTGTGACAGGAGCTGGGGGTCCTGTGTGAAGGAGCACTCCACACCGGGCAACTGTGATGGCTGCTGGGGCTCCTGGGCTCCGGGCCCCTGCGGCGACTGCAGCGGGTGCTGGGGGTCCTGGGCACACTCGGCGCAGTCCRGGGCTTGGTTCTCCAGGTGCTGCCACAGATGCGATGCCGAGCTCTGCTTCCAGGTGAGGCTCGTCCCGCACCGGGAGCAAGGGAGCGGCTTTTCCTCAGAGGGGATGTCCCTGTCCCCATCCTGGTGTCCATCCAGGTGTCCATTCCTGGCCCCCRGCACTGATCCCACGTGCAGTGGCAGGTGCGACGCCGGGTTCTGCTTCCAGGTGAGGTTTGTCTCACACCCCCCGCAGGTCAGCGGCTTCTCCTCGGCAGGGCCATCCCCGTGTCCTTCCCCGTCCCCATCGTGGTGTCCGTGCCCCGGCGCAGGGTCCTCGTGCAGGCGCAGGTGCCGCAGGAGGTGCTGGCGGTGGGCGAAGCGGCGGGTGCAGCGTGGGCAGGGGTGCGGGCGCTCCCCGGTGTGGGTGCGCAGGTGCCGGTCCAGGTGGGTTTTCTTGCGGAAGCGGCGGGCGCAGCGCGGGCAGGGGTAGGGCCGCTCCCCGGTGTGCGTGCGCATGTGGGAGCGCAGGTGGATGCGCTGCCGGAAGCGGCGGCCGCAGTGCGGGCAGGGGAAGGGCCGCTCGCCCGTGTGCACCCGTAGGTGCCTTGTCAGGTGCGCCTTCTTGCCGAAGGCCTTCCCGCACTGCGGGCAGCAGAATGGCCGCGGGCCGGGCCGGGAGCAGCGCCCGCACCCGGTGGGGCCGGGGCTCATCCCTGTGCCGACGCCAAAGCTGATCCCGATGCTGTCCAGGGGTGGCCCTGGCCCCCAGACTGGCAGTGCCCCGTACCCCAGCTCCTCCGGACATGGCTCCTCCACTTTGCAGGCACCAGCGTGTTCCAGTGTCCCGGCGGCATCAGGGGGGATGGYGCCGGGAAGGGGCTGCGGAGCCAGCGGGGCCTCGGCCCCGGTTCCGGCTGCGGCTGCAGCCGCCCAGGCCTCATCGTCATCCTCCTCCTCCACCTTCACCTTCCGCACCAGCCACTGCCCTGAGGGGACACGGGTGGACATGTGTTAGTGCCACGATGTCCTGGCACAGCCACCSGCACCAGGACATGGTAACTCTCACCCAAGGACCTGGAGCTGCCACCGGCACCACACATAGTGGCTATTGAGGCCAATGGCACCAGGGAGGTGGTGACCGTCCCTCAAGGACCCACCACTGCCACCAGCCCCAGGACAGGGTGACAGTGACCATGTGGCCCCCGTGTTCCCAGGAAATGCCTGGCAGCGCTAGTGTGACCACTRTGTCCCTTACCTGAGCCATGGAGCTCCGGGTCCCCTGGATCGTCTCCATCACCCTCGGGGGTCACCTCCGCCTTGGGGACCACCAGCCACGCTGGGGGGACAAAAGGGCACAGACAGGTCCCTTTTCGGCTCAGGGATGGCTCTGAGCACGCCAGGATGCCGCAGCCCCCACCTGAGACACCCACAGGAACCCTCAGTCCCACCTGAGGCCCCCTGGTACCCACCTGAGCCGGCGCATCCCGATGCTTCCATCTTCTCTGGCTCCACCTCGGCCCCGGGGACCTGCGGGGGGAGGAGGTGGCACCGGGTAAACCCTCCGACCCGAATCGGGGATCCCCCACACACCCGGGAGGTTCGGCATCCTGGGGACCCCTGGGCACGTACCCAGGGCACGGTGGGGGTGGACACTCTCCTGCCTGGTGGGTCCGGGGGGGTCAGGCCGGGTTCGCAGGGACCCCGGGGGGCTCGTGGGGTTCCGYGGGTGTCTGGAGGGGTCCGCGGGGTTCCCGTGAAGTGGTGTCCCCGTCCTGGTCCCCCAGCAGCTCTCAGCCACCCAGCCCCCTTCCCCGACCCCCCTGGTCCACCCCGTACCCCCACCCAAGCCCTTTTCGCACCCCCAGCTCCCTCTGGGCCG